AATATTGGACAACCCCCATATATATATATATACATACCGCTACAAAGGGACCTATATTCACTTAGGGTTTTCGGGTTTAAGGTTTAGGGGATTTAGGTTTTTGGGTGTAGGGTTGTTTGGTGCAGAGCATGTTCAGGATACAGAGGGTGTGGGATTGAGAGGGTTCTGTTTAGGGCAGAGTCTGTTCAGGATACAAAGGGTGTAAGATTGAGAGAGTTCAAGGTGTGTGCACTAGGCCCATTGTGACCAGAAGGAATCATGGTAATGCAAGGACCTAGGAAGGTCCTGTCTATGCCTACTATACCACTATCCCTAAACCCTAAACCCTCCCCTTTCTGTGTGGGTGCCTGGTCCGGACTTTGAATTGGGTGCGAAGTTGAAGGATCAGGGGCCGACTCAGGGTTTGGGCCCTCCCCGAACTCCTCCTTAAGCACCAAGTAGGTTGAAGGCTGGGGAAAGGAAGGCCTTGGCGTAGTCTGGGTTGCTGTTAAGGACTTTAATTTTGGTTACTATATTGGGGAAACCATATTAATTACTACATTTACCCATGACGGTAACCCTATATACCCTATTTACCCATTATGGTGACTTATGATAAGTTCCTTAACAGCAACCCAGTAGGTGCCTCGGGCGAAGACGTGTCCTTGCTGCAAGCGCACCCACCACGCGAGTTCACCCAGGCATGATGGGGAGCTCTTGATGCTTACTATTATTGCTATTATTACCATTATGCTTATTACTACTATTCTTACAACTAATGTTGTTACTGCTATGAGAGACGCCCATGATTGGACGAGTGTACCGACATGCCTCGACTCAAGTAGATAGTGTTTCCAAAAATCAATGGTCCCTTCTAGTGCGGTCTGCAAAATCAGGTTTGTATTACATTGCAGCACAGAAGGGTCAGCCCTGTTCCTGGAAACTCTCAGATCAGTAGCCGCTTCTCTTGTGAGACGGCTGGGTGGCAGGAGAGGCGTGCTACTGATGCGAAGACCAGGCATCGAGGCCGTGCCCATCACCACGCGCACTTGCACAACAAGGCGGGCGTGCAAATAACTAGTACTATTGCAATCATTACAGTTATTACAACTATTACAATTGTTCCTATTATTACTACTATGTGTGCTTTGAGAAGCACGCCATTGACAGGGGCTGCAGGTGCCTTAATTTCTAGCAGCTCCCTGTGCTACTGTAGCAACCACGAGCTGCCTTTCTCAGATCTTCGATGGTCACGACTATCGGCCAGATGCAGCCGAGTTCTTTGAGAAGCTTGCTTCCATGAAAATAATCATATTAGTATAATAATGACAGTTCAAGGCAAGAATAGTAGTAACAATAAATTCCGTTACAGGATGCACTCAGTCCCACGAAGTCTGTATGGCGTGAGATCCGCGTGGAGCCAAGGAAGGTGAAGCACGATTCACTGGAGAAGCGCTGCCCCCACATCCAGACGATGACGCTTGACGAGGCAAGGGTTGGTGTTGGGGTTTTATTGGGGTAATGGAAACTAACATAATTGGGTATGTTTATAGAAAGGTTTTATTGGGATAATGGAAAAGAAAATGGAAACTACTATATCATGGGGGAATATTCGGGTTATGTATGGATGCATCAATATCAGTTGGGCTTCCCGAGACAGATCCCACGCGCAGGTGAACGAGCGATGGTATGAAGAGCTGCACAAACTTAAGGAGGTCTGGGCTTGACATTCTGCTCTTAGTATGACCGTTCTTATTCTGAGTACTATGATTACTATGATTACTATTAGTACTATTCGTATTATTATTATTACTCTTATTACTATTATTGCAATTTTTACCATTTTTATCGTGTGCATCCTATTGATGTTGAGTCAGCAGCAGCTGGCTGTTTGATTCTGATGAGCACTACTCTACTTGCGGATTTGGCAAGGAGACTCCCCGTGCCAAGTTCGACCACAACTTGAAGGAGCATCAGTTTTTAAGTGGTTGGGTGCTATGCTTCCCCAGATTTTCCAAGTCATCCCCCCTAAATGCTAAACCCTAGACCCTAATCCTAAAGCCTAAGCCCTATATGCCTCTGGGGTTCCCAAGGTTGCCCAAATTGGGAGAAATCCCTTCGTCGGGATGCCAGACAGCAGGACAACTTTTCCAATGTGCCAGAATACCAGCCGCAACAGTATAACAAGCAGGAATGACACAGCGATTGCAATTAATGTGGCTGAAGTCATGCGGTGGCAGTGAAAACGAAACACTTTCTGTAGACAACGCAGCAGTAGCAATCGCATACTCTGATTGCACATTATCCGCGTGAATCAGGCTCTGCGCCATGAATTCGCTGGACTGCTGAACGACGACAAGCCAGTTCTAGTCAAGGCACCGCATGGCACGGCAATGTCCATCAATCAGAGGCCCCCGAAAGTGACTACTTTTGAAAACTCTCAGATCGTGTAGGTGCACCTCTATTTCGCCGCAGGTTGTCGCAAAGAAGAAAGATGTTAGTGGCATGAGATGCACCGCCATTGCCCGGAAGTTCTTTTGTTTTGGCTCTTGTAAAGCTTCACTTGGGACTGCGCGGGGGTCAGGCTTAGTCTCAACCCAGAACCCTATACTCAGAACCTTAAATCCTAAAGCCTAAACCCTTTGCAGGGTCACGTTCCAAAGCAGCTGGGCTGGCGGGCCGCCACCCATTGGGGCAAGGACCTGGCCATATGGAGGTTTCCAAAAATTGGGGGGCTCTTTTCTAAGGGTATTTCAAGAAATATCGTATATTGAGGCCATATTTCTAAGGGTATTTTCAAGGAATATCGTATGTTGGGGCCATATTAGGCCTCCCCCATTTACACAAACTCCCATATTGACAAGTATGTCACGCCAAGCGGAGCGGTGATGGTGGTGGTCATCCGAGTTGCATATACTAGCTGTATGGAAGAAGTAGCACCACCAGCAACGGCCACCGTTGGTTTTCAAGCGTGTGCTGCCATGGCTTACAGCTACAGCAGCAGCAGCGGCGGCGGCGGCAGCGGCAGCGGCATCGGCAGCAGCAGCGGCAGCAGCAGCAGCAGCAGCAGTAGCGGCGTAGACGGCAATCGTAATACGGAATACGTTTGTTTGCTTTGGCTTCAGCTGTAAAAGAGTTCAGCTACACTGAGAAAATCTGCTTCAGCCAAGTGCTGCATGATCTGTTGAGGCATGCCTTAATCAGAGATGGTTCTTTCCGTGCACTTGTAAGCAGGCTATCGTCGACAGCACTGTTTGAGTACTTCTGCCAATACCTTGTTGTTGGGACCTCAAAAGCACCCTTAATTTGGGGAAGCCCTAAACGTTAAATAGTAGCTTCCGTTTTTCTTTTCCATGGCCCCTATATAACCCCTATACCTTACCCTAAACCCTAAATACCCCATACCCATGCCTTGTGTGCCAAACGTACCAGGACGAGTTGTCCAATGCCCTGGGTGATTTGCCGTGGCAGAGGCAAACGGGATTTAGGGTTTAGGGTATGGACATGGGGGTCATGGGGAGATTTTAGGGATCCGCATTAAGGACTATGCCATGACATGTTTTTAAAAAAAGAGGCTTTTCCCCGCGGCTCTCAAAAGCTAACCTGGACCGCAGGGCCAAGCTATGCAAAGCTCTAAAGCCCTCAATGACCTTGCATAATCCTGACTAGGGATCACACAAGATGCATTCCAAAATAGGTTCCCTACCTACCCCAAAATGCCTTATAATCCGAACGGGGATCCACTTCTTCTAGGCTTGCCAGCTGAGGTTCACAACAATGAAGGCGGTTCCGGTTATAGAGACCAGGAAGGGAGGTCTTAATTCGCTATTTGGATTGACTTACTGGGTGGGTTAGTAGGGGAAAAGGTAACATCGTGTGCAGAAATTATAGGCATTTTATTCCCTTATTCCTTATTAACCCCAGGTAAGTCGAGAGAGAAGCTAGCAGCTAGCCAGTGATGCAAGCATGCTTTCTCGAGGCAATCCTTCGACTACCCTGAATCTTGTATGCATGTGGACGGTTTTATATGTTCTATAGTCCTTACTTGGAGTACACCCAGAGGGACAAGAATTCTGACCCTAAACCCTAAACCCCATGTATGTTGAGAATCTCTAGTTGATGAGTCTCTTTCCAAGACCTCCCTCGTCAAAATGAGATCCTTCGCGATCTACAGGGCCCGCCGAGCTTGTGTTTACATGAGTTCAGGGTTTAGGGTCTAAACTCCTTGAAGGGGGTTACATAGGCTACACAGGGGATCATATAGGAGACTTTTCTAGGGGTTGTTGAGGAGGATACCAGGAATTTTGGCTATAGCTGACACTTCTAGATTCGGCGGCGTGGTGCTGAGACCTGCTGCACTGTATGGGCGAACGACATTCGTAAAGACTCAAGTCAAGGGCATGAAGGGACTTGGATATACTACTAAAGTATTCCACGGTCCGTACACCATCAGAATCCCACTTAATTTTCAATCAGCTTTTCCATTTGATTCGCCATTGTTGGGATAATATATTGCCACCCAGTATATTTACCGCCCCTGTATATCCCTATACCAGCGCCAAGAATCCATGTGGGTCTGGGGAGTAAACTGCTGGATGTTGTCACCAAGGACTGGGTGTACTCAAAGCACAACCTGACAACTTTTGGAAGCTATGTCAACAACAATGAGAGTATCTTGGCTGGACACGGTTTAGGGTTTAAAGTTAGGTCAACAACAATGACGGTGTCTTGGCTGGGCCGGCAGCACAGCTAGGGGCATGGAAACATGTAAGTTCAAACATTATTTAGGTGTTTAGGGTTCTGTGTTTAGAGTTTAGGGATATACAGCATTACCCAAATGCTGTATATCCCAGATGGAAAACAGAATGGAAACCGGGGTTATTTAGGGTTATTTCTGTGATATGGGCCAGGGTTTTTTCATACCCTCCCGGAAACTAACATGGAAACCCAAAAAGGGCCCTCCAAAGACTACCGTCCTTTAAAAGGGGGGCTATATGGGTTTCCATGTTAGTTTGGGGGAGTGTAGGTGTGGCTTAGGTGCGGCTCAGAGCCCCTGGTCTGCTGGGCCTCTAGTCTGGGAATGTTACAAGTACCTAGGACGATTGTGCAAATTACAGTAGTTGTGGTTTTTTCAATGCGAAGAATACTGTCAATTGCAGCAGTTGGAGTTTCGAAAAGCCAGCCGAACTGGAAATTCCAATTTTCACAGCTTCTTGAAATGCTACAAACTGGCTCTTGAAAGGCTACGAATGCTGTAAATGACAGTATGTGGATTGGAAAGCTACGAATTTAAAGAAATCCAACGTCCATGTTTTGCAAATGGGGGTGGCTGCGGCCCCCAACCCCCCCCTTGCTATTTCGTAATGCAAGCAGCATGCTTAGAAATCCCATCAGAAGGGATGCAAGACTATACATTCTAATCTTCGTCCATTTTGTGCTAACGGGGCGGGCTGCGTCCCCCCTCCCCCACTGCTATTTTGTAATGCAAGCACAATGCCAACCAGCCCTATGACAGAGACTGGGCGTTCTGATCTTCATCCATTTCTTGTGAATGAAGGACCTCCGCTCTCCCCAACCTCCCCTGCTCTTTCGTGATGAAAACACAATGCAAAACAAATCCATCAAACGGGTGCAAGAAGCTAGGTGTTTTCATCTCCGTCAATGTTTTGCGGATGTTTCGTAATGTCAGCACAATGCACAACACAATGCGCCAGAGGGCGCAAGTAGCGGCGTGATGTGATGTTCTGATCTTGGTCCGTGTTTTTCAAAGGGGGGGGGCTGCGCTCCCCGCAACCCCCGCGCCGTTTTGTAACGCAAGCGCGTTGCTTGAGAAACGAAGCCGGTCAACTGTGTGCAAGAAGCTTTGTGTTCCAATGTTCGTCCAAACCACGAAATCTTATCATACTTCTAGAAACTACCTGTTCTGATCTTCGTCCATGTTTGGCAAAAAGTGGGTGGTTTTGTAATGGCAGCACACTGCTCGGGAGTCGTAGCTTTTGAAAGCCTACGAAGTAACTTGCAGCCCTTTCGTTGCTTTCAATTCAGCAGAGGCCTGGCTAATCTGATTCAAACCTAAGTTGATTTCAAGTAACCTCCAGGTTCTACGTGTTCTTATTGCTGCCAACGTTTATCAAGTGAGAAGGAAGAATTGTGCCTCTCTCCAACCCCATGGCCTTTTTCGAAGCCCAGCTTCGCAAGAGCCTACATGCTGGTGCATGTTTGGAGTTCTTTACATGTTTACGAGTGCTTCAAATTTCAGTATTTGCACCTCTTGGAAGGCCATTAAAATTGTAGATAACAACATGGCGAGCTCTGGGAGAGGTTGCAAATACGGCAAAATCACAGCAGTTGGAGCTATTGAAAGGTTAAGCATATTGCAAGTATTTTGCACAATGCAGCACTTGGAATTCTTCAAAAGCTATGAATATTGCAAAATCAGCTACATTTGTGCCTCTTAGAAGATTACACACTGAGATAGCAGCATTGCGAGCTCTAGAAAGGCTGCAAATATTGTAAATAACAGCATTTGGCCCCTTCTTTTGGCTCTATTTGTAATTTAAAAAGAGGAAGGGCCAACGTTGCGGAAAAAAGGAAGAGCCAGCGTTCAAAAACACACCTCCGCCCGTGTTTTCTTTGCGTGTCAAAGGTGTCAGCGGTCACAAGCATCAGGCGGGGTGGGTCGACCTCCTCGTTCTCGTCATCGTTTTTAAGCTTTCACATCTTTTTTGCGTCTCAAAACTGCCGACAGTCACAGGGATGAGCGTGCCCCCCAAAAACTAAAAAGGAGGGGGTGAGCCACAGCTATGAAACATACAAACCCCTCCGCCACTGTGATATGGATCTTGGTGGGTGTATATGGAGTTCCTTAGGGCCTCAGGAACATTGGTGAAGGTACATGTTGTAGGGCCTCGTGGCGGAGACCATAAGTAAATAGAATTGGTCATAACAAGATGCGGTCGGATTGGCTTGCTATCAGCCTTGCTATCGTGTTGCTCAGGTGCTGACAATGTTTTCCTGTTCGGCAGCGAAGATGGCTGCGATAGAACGGACGTGTTCAAGCAAACCATGGACACAATCAGAGGCTCCTCCTTCCTGACCCAAGTGCAGGTGATGTCATGGATCCCTTATCCTGCAAGGTGACTTCGCTCCGAGCCCAGCATTTGGATGGGAGTCGGAGGTTTGCGAATCGATTGTGGCCGTCGACTCCATAGGTGCTGATCTTAGATGTGCTGCGCCGTTTAGCTCGCACCAGGGATTGGGCCACACCAGAGAAGGGGTCATCATGACATGAACTGCTTCATCGTCCTCTTACTGGTATATAGTAGGGAATACGGGAATATAACCTACAGAATCCCTGTATATTAATTGCGTTATGCCCTACTATCCCCAGTTACGGTAGTCTTCATCTTCGCTTTTTGGGCTCCAGACAGGTAGCTCTCACGGCTTCCACTGCCACGACCCGGTCTGGCAGGTGCAAGTTGAAGGTCCAAGCCTGAGCTTCTGTCGCAGTTTAGGGTTTAGGGGTTCAGCGGTTTAGGGATTTAGAGGTTTAGGGTTTAACGGTTTAGGGGTTTAGGGGTTTAGGGTTTAGCGGTTTAGGGGTTTAGGAGTTTAGGGTTTAGGGATGTAATGTAGCGCAGCTCCGTTCAAGTCTTGGGTGAGAAATCGTCATACTTAGGATAGGATCTTCTCGGTTGTATCACCCTTTTGCTAGCTGCAATCGGCTGGAATCACGCCAAGGCTACAAGATGTGGTGGCTGCTGCCCCCACACTACAAAGGGTAACTTGTCTGGAGTTGTTGGAGAGTCTTGGAGGTATGGACAGCAGGGCCAGACCAGGCATAGGGGCTTCTAGTAGCAGCTGATATCCTAAACGGCCAATCCTGTCAGCTGCTACATTTGAAGCTTTGGGGTGTGTGTTTGATTGGATCTGCCAACCCACGGAGGACGGCGCCGGAAGGCGATAGCGACGATGGCTCCATGGCAACTCAACTGAACCAAGCTTGGCAGTGGGGCAGCCTTGTTGGCACCCCCAGCTAGAATGTTAACACGTCATGCAAGCAGCAAGCCACAGTAGCTTCCATTTTCTTTTCCATTATCCTTATATAACCCCGACATAATCCAAATATAAATACCTATAATCCCTATGCCTATAGTTTCCATTTTCTTTTCCATTATCCCTAGATAATCCCTATCAGAAAGCCACTAGTTCTCGAAGCCACCTGAGGGCTGGGGTGGTGCGCCTGTACTTCCTGACGGCACGGTATTTGCTCATCCTAATGGCTGCGCCATGCTCAAGCAGGCAGGAAGCTGTCACGGGAAATTTACTTTTCTATCCCCTTATAGTCTCCCTTAAGTAGTTAGAATATGGCTTCGGGTATATTATATTAAGACCCCCATCTACCCCATATCCTATCTACTTAAGGGGGGCTCTCACCCTGGAGTACGAAAGATACTTTTTTTTATTGTAGGTCGAAGGGGATTGCAGTGGGTGCCTCCTGCCAACCTTAATTTATGCTCGTAGTCTTTAATATGGTGTGGGGGTGCCCCTAAAGAGGTGGGCCAGGTTTCTTGAGGTGTGGTAGATATTCCGATGCCCCCAACCTATTAAATAGTTATTGGGGCTTCCAAAGATTGGGGGCTCCTTTTTGCAAAAGGTCCCCGTCTTAAGGGTGATGTGCCGTTTAGGAACCTGATCAGCGGCCAACTGCATGAGCTCTTGTCCCTGAACCTTAACCCTAAATCCCAAACCCTATTCCTAAATCCAAAACCTCCCATGTTGCAGGTGGAGCCTCCGTCGCTGGGCTTCGCAAGTGTAGCCCAAAGTAGCGGGAGATCAGCCTGAAGTGCTACCACTTGAAGGAAACTACACTATTCACTGTATGAGGGGGTTTCAGGGGTCCATGTTTGGTTGTCCTCATAGTAAGATTGCGAATGACAACTGAATACGAGCGCCTTAGAATTGAAAGTTGGAGGCGACGCTCTCCCTCTGCGGTATAGTCCCCCTTAAGTAGATAGAATATAGCTTTGGGTATATGATAATAAGATCCCCATATACCCCATATTCTATCTACTTAAGCGGGACTATAAACCTGCGGTCTGGTGCGACACCTCGGTGCCTCTTCTTAGGCCAGGAACGGACACGTGCATCTTGGCGCCGGGCGCCGCATGGTTGCAACACCTTCACCCCAAACATGCATATACGGGGGTTTCCCAAAATTAGGGGTACCCTTATGAGGATCCCCATAATGAGGACTATAGTATTTTGGGGTCTACATTGGGGTCCCACTATTTTGGGAAACTACCATATGTGGGGGTGTGAGGGCTTGTGAGGGCCCCATTTTCAACGTTAGCCGGGGAACGTCTTGCAAGAATTTCCATGCCCGGGGAGCTTTGTTATTCCTCTCCCCCTATTGCTAAAACCTCCCAGCCCCGAACCAACCAATACCCACCCAACCTGGTACCGTTATACAATAAGCGGAACATAGGGGGTGGATTTGGCTGGAGTTGATACTGTTCCCCTAATCCTATCTGCTGGACCTCAACCGGATGAAGGGCCACTGGCCCTAAACCCCAAACTCTCCTTAAGTAGATATAATATGGGGTATATGGGGATCTTATTATAATTTACCCAAAGCCATATTCTATCTACTTAAGGGGGACTATAGGGTTTAGGGTGAGCTCTAAACCACTCAGGAGATGATGGTGCTGCCAACGGGCTGGGTCCACTCCACCTGCGGGCTCACAAATTATACTGCGGCTGCAGGGGGCTGGCTTGGCGTCAGTTGGCAGCAGCTTTCGGATTTAGGGTCTAGGCTTTAGGGGTATATAATAATGGGTCTAGGGTTTAGGGGTAGTATATATTATGGGCCTAGGGTTTAGGGGTACATAACTATGGGTTTAGGCTTTAGGGGTATTATAACCACAAGTTTTTGTAGAATCAAAAGGCAAAGAAACTGTACATCAAAGGGCCCTGGGCTCTTATATACCATGGATTGGGGATTAAACACACCCCTCCCCCCTGTATGGGACCATCATGTATACGGGGAGAAATATTGTTCGGGTCGCGGGGGTTCACTACTGTAGTCGGGGGAGGGTCCTATGATTGAAAAGTTTGCGCAGGGGAAGATGGAAGTCTTCCTACAGGGCAGGCAAGTGTTGCCAACAGCTTTGTCTACATTGCAGTGTGTGTGTGTGTAGTGGACGGACATCTTCGCCAGACGCATCATGTCGCCAGACGCATCATGTCGCCAGACGCATCATGTGCATTTTTAGTACTTTGCATCCTGTGGGTTTCACATGCCAGCAACTGAGTTTTATCGGGCGGACAAGTGAGCCGGCATTGGAGATCTGCGCAGGCGCCGCGCAGGGCGTTGGCATAAGCACAGATCCTCTGCCTCCTGTCTCTCTAAGGTCTTAACCATGGGTCTCTCATATGGGCCCTTACTTGTTTCCTGAGTCCTAACTACTGGTTCTCAATCGGATCTGTGGGGTTATAGGACATGTGATCATATATAAATGGTATATATGGACCCCGGATTAAGGGCCCATAGCAGGGGACCACAATTCCATCCTTTGAGTAGCTGAAATCACGCATGGAGAGGCTGAGGTGCTGTTGATTTTGCTCATTGGCTGGAGGGTGAAGTTCGACTTAGTATCCACTGCAACCCAGCTTGGCTTGGTTGCAACACTGAATCAAATTGGCAGAGTGTATCTGAGACGGCCGCGGGCAGGAAAGGCGGATCCTGGGTACACCATGAGTGAGTAAGGCTCTGCCGGAATTCGAATTATCAAAATTTCAACCATGCGCCAAACTCTCTGGTAACCAGAGTCGTGCGCTTTGTACATCAACTGAAGACTGTTCTGGGTTTTGCTTCGTAGTTGTAGATGGGGATAACTTGAACTAGACATGAAAAAGGTGTTTCTTGACGTTTCCATGCTAGCCATTGGCATCCCCCAGGACTCGGAAGCTAGGTAGGGGAAACCCAAGGCACGCAGTCCCCCTGAAGTAGATAGAATATGAAATTCTCCAAAACCATAAGATGATCCCCATATACCCCCATATTCTGTCTACTTAAGGGGGACAATATAACCAGGCAATGTCTTGTAGTCTCCCGTAATTTACGTATTCGTATAGATAACGGACCCGAATATAGACCCCAAGCAACCATTTTATTTAGTATCTTTATCATTGGGACACCCAATGGTAGTCCTAATTTCAGAAACCCTGAACCCCTAAGCCTAAAACCCAACTACCCCTCTTTAACAGCATGTCCTGAGGACATACAAGGCTTGTATGCCTACCTAGCTCGAGAGTCTAGCCGCAGGGTTTCTAAGAAGCTCGCCAGATTGCAAGCCGAAGCTTGCCTTTTAAAAAGGCTGGATGCCCTGCCGGCTTGCGTAAAAAAGTTTAGGGTTTAGGGGATAGTCCACCGACTGAAATTTGAAGTTTGGGTTCAGGGTGTAGATTCGGAAGTGCCTCCACTGATGGGGTTCATATTCGCGGCTGTGTATAGCTATATAGTTTGCGTATTATCTAGTGGCTACTGGGTACGCGCAGCACCCATTTCGCGCGCCCACATGGGTGCAGCAGTTGGCTGAGAGGTCTGGCATTCATGCAGGCTCCAGGTTCTCAACAAGTTTTGGGTTCAGGGCTGTTTGACTCTTGTTTAAGCCCAAACCCTAGACCCCACATAGATTAACCCTAAACCCTAAACCCTAAACAGATTACAGATGTGCAGGCTATCCTGCTGGTAAATGGCAGGATCCCGACTGGCTAAAAGGACCAGCGACTGTAATTACTTAGATCGACTGGGGCTCAGTCAAAAGGTTAGTGCACATGGCCAACAAGGGTTGCAAATGCTTTGCAATTCTACACATATAGCGGATTAGCTACTTCTAAGTAGGGAATATAGGCAACCATCACAGGCAGGGATTTGGATATGCGCAAAAATGATGCATGTGGATACGGATCTCATAGTGGGGTCGGCCGTGGGATTTTCTTCTTATAACTTAACCTACCCAAACCTACTTAGGTCTTGGTAGATTAAGGTAGAGTGTCAGCGATCGCAACAATTCCAATCTGCAGGTGGTGCAGCCGCCCACTACCAGGCAGCCCCTTCTGGTGATTTGGGCTCTGGACCTAAAAGCATTAGGTGTCAAAAGCAATACATGGAAATAAGCAAGCAAGTAGATGCACATGCATGTACGTAGGTGCATAAAGTCTCTCTGCGCGATAATGCGGGCAGCGCTTGCGCTGCAGTGGTTCCAACCTTGGGAGACTGATGTTTTTGTCAGAAGAAGTTGCTGATTCCATGAGTTCCCGCCAGGGAATTTGTGCCTAGCATCCCCCACCACATTGCGCCGCCTATTCTGACCAAAGTTTCTCGCTATGCCCGCACTTCTTTCGGAACCCGTCGTCCTGGGCATGGCCATCTGACCCTTAGTAAAGTCATTTGGCCTATGATGCTCCAAAAATGAAGCCTGTTGGGCAGCCGCCGTCATTTTCCCATCAAGTCGTTACTGGGTGTTGCTACCGTGGTTTTGGACGACAGAGAACAAGTAGAGAAGACGGCCCAAGCGCTGGTGCAGGTGCAGGAGAGCGCCGGCACGGTCATCTGCTTGGAGCGCGAATCGCGCTTCTTGTACGGCCACGAGGCCGGACCAGACAGTGAGCTAGTGCTTGGAAATGTGTACTATAATCTAAACTTCTTAAGGGGGGTTATATAGGGGAGTAGTATAGCGGTTATTAAGGGGACCATCCCATGCAACATGGGAGCTTTCAAAAATAGGGGACGCTTCAGAGATCCCAATAAACTATGGTTCCCATTATATAGAGACCCTGAAGCCCTGAAAAAGGACCCGTCCGCTTCTGCCAGCAGGTACCCAAGGTTTCCCTGCCTCGCATTTCTTTGACCTGGCGGTGGCTACATCCAAAGCTGCTTGACTGAATTCTTCAGTTGGGGGTTTCCAACAGTCAGCAGTCCCTTTTTTGGTGGTTCCTATACTAGGGATTACCATAATTTGCGGTCTACGGTGGGGTCTCCCCTCTCGCAGCAACTTTCCATAGTGCGTTGTGCAGTGAAGCCCTGTGCTGTGTGTTAGGCAGTTCGTCGTAAGCCCTAAACCTCGAATAGCAGTTTCATTTTTGTTTCCATTATCCCAATATAGCCCCATTCTAACCCTGACATTACTCCAATGTCCTCATCCTGTAGGTATGCTGTCCTTTTCAGCCTCAGTCACAGACACGCGCCAGGTTCCAGGAAGAAGTGGACGAAGTCAGGGACTGGCTGGCGGCATGTGACGAGGGGCCGAAGCTCGCCTTGTCCCTCACAAGTGCCAGAAAGAGAGCATCAGTGGCTATATATGACCCCAATATACTAGAGTAGTTTCCATTTTCTTTTCCACTATCCCTATATATGCCCAATATTCTCCATTATTGGGCTTTGCCCCAGGGTTACATCAGGGCAGGATTTTGCAGGCAACCTCCAGTGCAGCCCCTGGCTAGTCGTGCTTCTGAAGACTGACAATGAACACGTTGCATGAATCTTTGCTACTTCCTGGCTCGAAGCTACAGCATTGAACTTATTCATGAAAAGCGCAAGAGGCCTCGGCTTGCCAGAGCTGAATATGCAGGCACCGCAACACTCTACTCATTATTCACACCTACTCTGAAGCATGGCCACTCGCAAGTCATACAGAAGTGCCCAAAGCGCCTGTTTGCGCCATGGGCTTTGCTATGTGCACGCAGCCCCTTGGCCGCACCATTTAGTTGCAGAAGCCATGCAGGGTACTGAAGATGGTCAAATCTGCTGTGAAAGGTCTCAGCCTTTTTTCATGAGTTGAAGGTGGCGCCGTAGATGTGAGCTATAGTCTAAACTCCTAGTATCCCCTTTAATTAATCACCCCTATAGTACTCCTCTATAGAATCCCCTATATCACCCCCTTTTAAGGAGTTTCGACTATAGCTCATGTCACTCTTCCGGAGTGGTTCAACTGCAGCAGCTGAGGTTATGCCTGCCTGAGGATGCTCCGTCCAATTTCGTGGGGCCGGCTTACCTTGCGGGTCAAATGAGCTATAGTCTAAACTCCTTGAAGGGGGTTATATAGGTGATTATATAGGGGACTACTATAGGGCATATTAAGGGGGATACTAGGAGTTTAGACTATGGCTCAGATGAAGGGCGTGTAGTAAATGCGCACCGCCGCCTGCAGAAACAGAAGCTTGGCAAGGCTGGCAATGAATGCAACCTTCAGCCCTAAACCATAATGTGAGCTATAGTCGAAACTCCTTACAGATTTTTAGATAATTAGGGAAGTATTTAGGGGAGTACTGTAGGGGTTAGGATAACCTCACAGGTTCTTGGTTTGCTCATGCCAGCTGCATAACACCCCTACTGTCCAGCTAAATCAACCAGTGCCAAGATGCAGGCAACTCCAGGTGCTTCACTTGCAGCCCCTCCCAATGCAGGGAAGTCTCCCAACACGGTTAGGGTTTAGGGCGTAGGGTTTAGGGTTTGCCTCCAAGAACAATCATTGGCATAGCTGCAATGGCTCCTCCTGGTCTCGCGGCTCTGGTTGCACCAGACTATGGCACAAGCTTCTTCATGAGCTTCAAGATCCTTGGCTCAGTGATCAGACATATGGGAGTTTTTGAAAATGAGGTTGTCCCGTTTTGGGGGTGAGTACGAAGCCTAAACCCTAAATAAATAGTAGTTTCCGATATTTTCCACTTTATTTTCCATTATCCAAATATAACCACAATCTAACCCAAATATCCCCTATAGGGATATTTGATTTTCGATTCATTTCAGTATCACGTAGGGCAAAGTGGGGGCTACCAGGTCCCGTTTACCAGACTAGGAGGATGCCTTCCAGACTGAGCTTTAAGCATCGGATAAAAAGATCTCGGTTCCATAATATAACTATCAAATGTCATATGCTATAGTATACTATATAGTATATACGATGATCTACTAGAATATACCACAGCATAGCATTCTGCAGGAAGCAAAGGAACCAAATCAACGAGGAGTTGGTGAAGGCCTGCCTGCATGCAAAGAATCTTCTCCCCTTGAATTTTAAAACCTCCACCCACCCCCCTAAAAGAAATGAAATATCTACCATATATATATATAGAGAGAGTATTGTAAGAGTCCAATGAAGGGCCTTTGGTCTGATCCTTGGAGTCCACTGATATGCGGAAATTTAGGGTCATGTAGGGGCACTGGGAGAATGGAAGCGGCTATTTAAGGTTTATGATTTTGGCATATATCACCCCCTCATCATCGAGAACCAAATGGAAATTAAAATGGAGCATGTAATTGAAGCGGGGC